ATAATAGCCTAAAACTAAAGCCCTCCTCATCGGACAGGAACACCCAGCAGCACCATAACCTGAGCCAACACCCAGCGCACCCATTGAGAAGAAGCTACACGGTCTACGGCCCAGCACACCGGATCTAGAAACTACCCTAGTGGCTAATTAAACTTGGGCCAACAGACCCGAAAACCTCCTCCAGTGCACCACAAACTTTTATCATATAAGCTAGTTTTTCAGCTATAAGTCATAAGCTATAAGCTCGAAAATTACTAATAAGCCATAAGCTAGCTTATCAGCTAGTTTTACCAAACATAGCCTTTAGAGTGGTTGTAGCGGTGTGCTCGCGAGTTGAGGGGAGGTATTATTCTATTGTTAGTTGAGGTGTGTGTTGTGGTATTTTTGTTGTGTGTTTGGGTATGTAGGTGTGTTATTCTCCATTATTAGAGCTTTCAGTCTCCATTTGTGGGAGTTTTAGTTTTTGTGTCTTAGGGGGGTGTATTCAATTCGGAATTTAAGTGACATTTTAAGACTTTTTGAGATTTGAGACTTTCTAGGATTTTCAGATTTTGGAAGAATTCTATGAAATCTCAAGTCCGGAAGTAGGATTTGAAGTGGGATTTCATATAAGGTTTTTTGTTTAGAAATCCCACAAAATCTTAAAAAGTCTTAATAAATCCTAGTGTCAAAAAAATTAAATACCTCAGGATTTTGTAAGACTTTTGAAAATCCCAATTGAATACCCCAGGATTAGTTTGTGCTTTAATTTGGGTTTTGGGCTCTACGATGCCTGAGAGCAGTTGTTCTTCTGTCGGGTTAGTTATCCACTAGTTTCAGTTTAGTTGCTGGATAATTCAGTTGTTTGGCTATCCTTGTCTGTATTATTCGTGTTTATTAATATCAACTATCATTTTGGAAAAAGATAATAAGGAAAAAAATTATTAAACAAGGATAATTTTATCATTAGCAATAGATAGCATATAGGCCCACTAAACACGACATGTGTCATTTTGAATAAAATTAACAAAATTTGAGAAATTAAATTGAATTTTTAAGAAATCCATTTTTATTTTATTTTTCAAAATTTGTAAGCATAATATTTTTACACCTACTTTGAATAAATCCAAGATGGATAAGCCATAGCCACGTATGATATTATAATATCTGCATAATGTACATTTCACAATACGCGTGTCCCAGCGGTGTAGGACACCATGCTCACACTAGTCTCCCCTCAAAGTTACACAAACCCCTAATCGCCCACGCTCGCACTCTCACTTTCCGGCGCACCGCCCGTGGATCTACAAATTTCTCCGGCCGCCTTTTTTTTCCGTATTTAAGAGATTTACCACAAATTAGGTCGATCCCTTGCCTTCCTTTGCTTGCGTGATCGAAGAAAATGGTGGTTGGGAGGTGGACGGAATGTAGGGGCGATCTGTTGGCGGAGGGCGCGAAATCCGTGCGGCTGCGGCTGAGGGATCGTTTCAGGGTGGCCGCGGTGGACTACCGCCGCTCCCGGTGTATGAGTTTCTCCGGCAGCGGCTACTTCTCCTCCACGGTCCAGCGCTGGCTCGATCGGTTCTCTGAATTTCGCCACGGTTCTCTGCCGTCCGCTTCAACGTTTTACCGCAAAAGAGGTTCGGTGTCTTTGGTTGATCGTTTGTACAAAATTTTAATGATTAGATTCTCGTACTTTCAATTCAATGTCAAATACCAATGTTTTCCATTTTCTTATTCCCTCAACTGTTGAGTTTATTCTAGAAAATTGATGTTAAAATAGGACAGTCTTTTTGTCTATCACTTGCATGTGCCTAATTTTTGAGTTTGTATTGTAGTGAGTAAGGATATTGATGCAGAAGACGATTCAGTCTTGACCCGTATGCTCCAGGCTGTTGCTGTTCCTGTGATTGGTAATGTTTGCCATGTTTTTATGCACGGGCTCAACCGCATTCAGGTAAATTCGATTGCTTATCTGTGTGTGCATTTAGGAAAGACCACCTGACTAATCATGGTCTCCAGATTTTTGGTGCAGAGAAATTGGAACACGCGCTGCTGCACAGGCCAGAGAACAAGCCTCTCCTTACTGTATGCATCATTCCCGGTCCATTTTTTATGAATGCTCGAGCTTGTATTGTGAAAACTGAAAAGGTTCTGTAGAACCTTCATATGATGTGCATCTTTGGAAAGTGCATAATTGCATCCTTCTAACTTTACATGCACAATGTCGTAGTTTTCCAGTTTCCTCTTAATCATTAAAGAAATATGAAACTTCCAAAATTTAAAACCTGGGCTCTAGCAATAATTTAGCATTTATTTAGTTTCTTTAACTATTTAAAATATTGTCATACACGCAATGGTTTCATCATTGGTGGGTGATATCAGGACTAATATCAATTATTATTGGAAGGAAAATAAAAAGGGAGTTATGTAATAACAATTGTGCAATAAAGAGCAGAAAAGAAAAGGAAAAAGGAAAACATAAAAGAAAACTAAAGGAAAAAATATTGGATTAGCTGCTCAAACACCAAGTGTGAAGGTTGTCCCTTGGCAATTGGCATAGGGACAAAAGACAACTAAGAGAAAAACATGAAGAGTGGAGTGGGCGAGTGTGGGGTGAAGAAATCTAAAATTATGGTTAAGATAGCTGAATAGTAGGGTGTTAAAAACCATTGGGATTATCTGCAACTGCAACACCCTTCTGCCTTGGGTCCATCCTTCAGTTATGTTAGCTCAGCACCTTATTTCCTTTGCTCGTGAACTTCTTGGGTTGTTATTAACTATTCTAAAAGTAGCCTCTCACATTCAAGTGGTTGCATTGTGGTTTTGATGAAATATTTTTTCTTGCAGGTTAGCAATCATGTCGCAGCTATGGATGACCCTTTGGTTATTGCTTCCCTTCTCCCTCGTAGTATGCTGTTAGATGCCAATGGTTTGAGATGGACCCTCTGCGCATCTGATCGATGCTTTAAAAATCCAGTTACGTCCGCATTCTTCAAGTACGTGAAAGTGCTGCCAGTTTCTCGTGGAGAAGGGATATATCAAAAGGTATTTGCTATATGAACCATTCAATTCTATTAGCTTTTCTATTAGGTAGTTTGGTGTCACGTAGGTTATTTTATTTGCTGGTAATCATATCATATTTGTAATGCAGGTTTCATGAATGTAACATCTTGATAATACTGGGCATCATTTCTCATCGGTTCTCATTGATGTTGAATTGTTATTAAGTGAGAAGAGACAATGTCTCTGTCCTTATTAAAATGGAAGATTAGAAATTGGCATGGATTTGGATTTATGTGGCTTGGTTGTATAGTTGGCTCCAAGTATTTGGTTGTATTAATATATTTTTATGAATATACAACTAATAGGAAATTTTTGTTTTTAATTTGACTACCCTAATGCCCCTGTCATTCAAATAGGACTTATTGTTTTACGAGAGAGGGCAAAAAAGTTGCTGGACAAAATATTATAGGTTTTTATTATGGCTATTAGGTTGAAGGCATTTCGAAGCTTAATATCTGCAGCTTATCTTTTTTTTTTTTGTTTTTTTTTTCATTTTTCTCTCTTCTTTACAAAACAGGACTCTGTAATAATCAATGTATATTTACTTTCAAATTGGTATGCTTTTCGAAATCACTTCTTTCTTTGTTCCATGAAAATCAAGATTTCTGCTCATCCAATTGTTACTGCTGCAGGGAATGGACTTGGCTATTTCCAAACTGAACCGCGGTGGCTGGGTCCACATATTTCCTGAAGGCAGCCGTTCTCGAGATGGTGGGAAAACTATGGGAGCTGCCAAGAGAGGCATCGGAAGGTATGGATGTACATCCCCCTCACTTCTACTCGCATCAGCTTTTTGATGAACATTGTTTGCCATCTGCTTTGACTGGTGGGTGTGGGGTGTATTTTAGAATTTTCTTTAGCAATAAATCAACCACAAATTATCATTCCACTCATCCGATTTTGAGGATGTGATTCTATATGAGATGAAGATCTTAGAATTAAAGATTGATTATAGAATAGAGTAAAAGTGAACAAGTGCCTACCCCAACTTGCTTGGGACTAAAAGGCTATGTTGTAAAAGTGAACGTGTAGTAGATTTCCTAAAAAAAATTCTAAGCAATTTCTTTTCATTGTCGGAAAATTAATTTGATTGAAAGAAAGCTTATATTTTTTGTACCAAGAATACCGTTAATTATTGGTCTTGCTTTCTTTCCAAATTTCTATTTATTGAAATTTGATCGCCAATCTACATGTGAATAAGATCATGTATTTCGCGATTTTCCTGATATTGTTTATTATAAATTTCTCTTATGTTTTTGTGAGTCTGGAGTACTTGACTGTACGATACTGGTGTAAATTTTTTGAAAAAGAAAACTTGGTCAATTTGATAGTTCAATGCCAAATTCAGGGCCAGGTATAACAACAAACTTATAGATGGTGATACTGGATTTCCTTTATCCACCATCGGCTTCATAGGAATAAACGTATTTGCTTTCTTCTTTCTTAGGTTGGTCCTGGATGCTGACAATGTACCCATAGTTGTTCCTTTTGTGCATACCGGGATGCAAGAGGTCATGCCCGTTGGAGCCAAGTTTCCTAGGGTTGGCAAAACGGTATGCACTCAGTTCATCACGGTTGCATCATAATTATGCTTTCTTGTACACAATCGTATTGCTATAGAGACATCAAAGTTGGTTTATTTTCCGAATGAGCAGGTAACTATACTTGTTGGTGACCCCATTGGTTTTGACGACCTAATCAATGAACAGCCTCAGAAAAACATATCAAGAGGAAAACTTTACGACGCTGTCTCGGCTAGAATTGGCGACCGCCTCCAAAAGCTGAAGCTGCAAGTTGAAGTTTTAGCCCTTGAGCAAGCACAATTATTGCAAAAATACCCTCCATCACGTCTCACTGAACGAGCAGCTCATCTTTTGCAAAGCATTGACTGGGAGTCACTTGGGATGGGTAGCTACATAAGCATGAATGAGAACTCGTCTAGGCAAGATATATTACGCGAACGGGAAGTTTCTCAACTCTATCCTCAAGAAAGCAGGTGCGTGGACCAATGCTCAAGAGTTGGCTTTTCTAGTCAAGGTGGGTTGGTATCAAGGGTAAGAGGCTATATGGACTCAACTGAACCAATGGTTTTTTCGGCAAGAGGTTTATTCACGAATCATAGAACAAATGCGTATTTTTTTAGTCTGCAAAGAGTTAGTCCTTTGAAGGTGTGGAATAAATTATGGAAGTCTATGTCTGAAGGTGACCACTTCCTTCTCGACTCACTTCTGACTGAGGCATGAAATGAATTGTTCAGTTTTTTGCCTCAGAGAATGTAGGGAAGTTTTGCTTATATTGTGTTCTTTGTTAGATATGCTGTTTGCCTTTATTAGCAGCTTTCCCCCTTCTTGGTTATCCAACATGATTGAAGGGTGTGAGAAATTATTAGAATTTGTGATTGAGGTGAGTAGAAAATGTTTGTTTTGGTCAATACTATGGCGTGCCGTTTCTTTTGTTTTTCCTGTCATGCGAAAACACATACTTGTGGAAAGGAATGATTTTTCACTGTCCGATTATGATGGACGAGTTTCAAATACGCTTGGCTAGAAGCTTTTGTGGCATTGTGAACGAGCGCTGAGAAGAAAGAGGGTTGTGGCTATTAGACGTGTTACTCAAGTCGAGCCTAGTAACTCGTGTTTGAGCTCATGTTCATTTAATATACAAGCAGGCTTGGCTAATTTTGTCTCGATCGTAAAATGAATAACTTGATTCGAAGAACAGATCCAGTGGAAATAGAATCAAACTGATTATAGGAGATTATATCATTATCAATCCTGCTAAGGCTAGTGGTCGTTATAATTATGAGAGGAACTGAGACAATTGGATGGCATTGACTGATGGAATAACCAATGGATTAATTCATAGTAACTTTCGGACAAAATTGCTTAACTTGCAGATCTAATTGTGAAGGCACACGAGAATTATTTTGCAATTGCTGCTATGTTCAGAAACTATAGCAATTAGCCACTTATAATGGAATTACAATTTACAAAAGAATACAACGAATCTATTATCACAAATTTTTAGGCGAGACAGCTTAACGGTTAGGCATGTCAACTCTTCATAAAAAATCACATGTACAGAAATATCATTTCTATATTTATATTATTTTCTAAAGTATGTCATTTGTGTACAAAATATGCATGTTTACGAGAAAATATGTTTGCTTAACCTTACTGATCTAATATGTTTGCTTAACCTTACTGATCTATTATATATACACCAGAAAAATGCAATTAGATTCAAATCAAGTTAAAGCTCCAAATACCCTGCCGCATCCCTCCCTATATATTAATTAAGAACGTGCTGAGCCTATGTGGCAGGCTCGGATGCTTTGGAATCTTATGTGGCAAAAATATATGCTTCGGGCTTGAGTAGATTTAGTTTACTTCTAATCCAAATATATTTAGGTTCGGATTATCTATAATATGTTGATTATTTATGGTAAGGGTGAGCGCCGGCCGGGACGGTCTTGGATTTGACTTGTCCGGATACCCATCCCACTTTTATGAATCCGTCCATGAACGAGGCACCGTCGCCACCCATATAATACATGGGTGTTGTACTAGTTTATATTTAATGCTAAAGACGTTGATCCGATTTTTATCATGTGTTTAAAATCTACAAATTGAATATATTGAGAATTAAGCATTATATTGTCATCAACGATTCTGAAAGTAAATTTCCAGGTCGACATTTTGCTCTGTATGTGTCTTTGAAGTATTTAAAAGTCATTTACATGGATCTAATTGATCTTATTTGTATAGCCATTTTTGTATACTATAGCTACAATATTTTAGTATACATATATCCACTTTCATCGGTACTACTTACATGCAGAGTGACGTGTGCCACTAATTAAATGTGCTCATTGATAGTTATTGCTTGTTCTTAGGTCAGGAATTTTGTATAATTTTTAAGAGATTAGATTGACATTTTTGTGGTTCAGATCGTCATATTTTGGATTCCGACGTGTCACTTGTTCAAGTCTTCTGTACTTTGTCAACATATTTCTAGACCAAGTCATTATATATCTGGTCAAGTCACGAATTTACGCATCGCTCTTCCGGGCCAATTCTTCGGGTTGGCATATTTCTAATAAACTCTTTTGGACCAAGCTCTTCTAAGCTAGGTCTGACATAATAGCGCAACATTTTAAGCAACTTGAAAAATATGTTATTTGTTTGGCAATTTTCTTAGTAATTTGAGCTCTTTTTTCACTTTCCATTCTTCTGTTAGTCGGGGTCAGGCTAGTAGTCTTAACAAAAGAAGTACAAGAGGAGAGTTTAGGCTTGTGGCCTGGTGAGGTTGAGAAAAGCAAATAGAGATACGAGGTGTAAATTAAAAATGAGTAACTGGAATGGACCCATAGATTGGCCCACAACCGAGCCCATTTCCAGTTTTGTGTAACCAAAAACGACAAGACTTGTGTCTCTCCATCCCAAACTAACGGGTCGAATTTGCAATTATTTTTTCTCCGTAATGTAATTACGTTAGACATACAATCCTGTAATCATTCATGATTTTTCACATTTGATAGCGAATTAGAGAAATTTCGCCTTCAATTTTTTCACAAAACCCCATTTGGGATCTCGGAGAATGTCGGACGAAGACGAGACGCAGCTCACGGACCAGCAGAAAATCCAGATCGCCAAGTGGTTTCTCCTCAATTCTCCCGCCGGCGAAATCCAGTATGTCGCCAAAGGTAGTTTTCATGGCGCTGTTAATTGCACGCGTATATGTGTGTATATACAGAGATGGGTGACCTTGGCGAGAGTGTTGATTGCATTGTTTTTTGCGAACTGTTGCGCAGATGTTCGGGCGCTTGTGAAGAACGAGAGAGTGTACAGAGCGGCGACGGCTGAGGCTTTTCCACTTTACAACAAATCTCACATGCTTTGCCTGGAATTTCCCGATAGAAGCGGTGAGGTAATGCGAATTGGCGTGGCAGATTAGCTATGAAAGTTTATTATATGATTGATTTGAATGCTTTATTTTTTTGTTCTTTTTTGGCTGAGGAGCAATTTTCTTGTGCAAGTTCAGCTACTAGATGGAGAAACTGGTTTGATGAATGAGGTTCTAGTTGAAGGTGGCGTGAAATGGATGTACATTAGTCTGAAAACTGGTTTCTGATTGCTTTAGCACACTTTTTGGGCGATTTATACACAATTAGTTCAATGTCACGTAGTTGCCTGAAATGGCTCTTTGGCTGGTAAACGGAACGAGTGGCCCGGCTTAGTGGGTGCAGTATTTTGGGCCTCAATAGGATTAAAAAGTGGATTTGGGTTGATGTTTGGATCTGCATGAACACGCATGAAGATTTTCAATATTACATGAAATCAGAGCGTAATTCTTGCAAACGGAAAGAAAAAAAATTAGGAAGGATTACGACTTCTAGAATATTAGGCAGTCTTCCTTTTTATGAGGTCACAAGTCAATTATGCTCAAGGGAGATTTGATTGATTGTGGTAGCTTCAGGATTAAACTGCTGTCAGTCATTGAAAAGGCCCATTAGTTTGCAGATTGCACACAACTCGTGTTACATCACACAAAACCTCTTAACATTTGAGATGGTCGTTTTAACTGTGATCTAGTTGGAACACACGGACTGGTTTGTGAATGGACCGCTTTAGAATATCTGTACAAATAGAATAATGAAAAGATTGTAGGTGACTTAAAACAGGATTGTTGGTTAATAATTATGAATATAAGCATAGGTAGTACCATTGTCCACTGAAGATCCCCCGGAAATGACAACTCACCCTTTTACCAATATGAGTCTTTATAATGCACTTTGTCCTCAGTCACACGCACCTCCTGACATACTTCTTAATGTCATCTGTCCCCAGTTTATGCACTTTGTATAGAAGCATCTTCGAATAAAAATCAGTTAATCGACTGTAGACTTTTAAGATAGTTCTGTGTAGGAATATTCAGAATTGTACTTGGAATATTATCAATATTTTCGTGTTAAAGTGGATTAATGCAATGAAATTTTATGCCTCAGTATCCTGTCATTAATGCTGGCAGGTTATCATTACATCATTTAGTGAGATTGATAAGAATGAATATCTTGATCCTAGGACTGCCCAGGTTGCAATCATTGACCATGTGAAACAGGTAAAATCTGTTGCCATTCCCTTTGGGTGTTGAGTGCATGTACTTGTGAATTCGTTTACAATCTCTGAAGGTGTTCCTTTACTATATTATCAACAAGATCTTTGTGAAAGACTATCTTTACTTTGACTATTTATCCTAGGTTTTGCTTTTAGTTTAACCTAGCAAAACAGCAACGTTGTTAGAGAAGTACAAAAGTGTGTAACCAAAAAAAGCTGCTTGGTAGGTGGGTGGCATCAAAGAGTTTACTGGGGATCTCTAGATAAACCATCAATTTCCAATTTAGGCAATGAAAATAATAAAAGACAAATTTATTGCTAGCAGTGATAAAAAGCATTAGTGCCCGACATTCTTCAAACGCCTCTAGAGAATTCATGTAGTTAATTTACCTTGTGCATGGAAGTTAAACTAGAAAAAGAAAAACAATAAATAAACTTTTGTCTTGAAAGGGGGGTGCATTGATATTTTGATTTGTGCCCTGCCATGTTTCATATTAGTGCCCAAGTTGTAAGTTACTCAACAGGGTTAGGCTATGCATGATCTCATGGTAAAATAACAAAAATATTGCTTGTCTGTACTTCAGATAATTTATATTCTTATACATTGCAAAATGTTATATTGATTTAGGTATGTGAGGATGCTAGACCAGCAAATGATGAAGAGCTTCCGTCCTCATTTATTGAGGAATATCGGTATGCTTGACCCTGCTAACTTGTTATACTACTTCAGGAATCAGAAGGTTATGTTTGCATTTCAATATACTGCGTATGATTTGGGAGGCTGTAGTAAAAATGGTTTATCATATTACTTGAATAAGTTACCCATCTGTAAGTTTTATCCCAAACATGTATCGTGCCAATGCTGGTAGTAAGCTGCTATGTGTTCTCATGCTGGTTATTTGCTTATGTATTTTTCCGGGCAGGTGTTCCTTGGATGCAGAGATTGTTAAATATGTCAGTGAAGTATATCCAAAAGGAGTTGGATCGGTTTATTGTGTTAATGGAAAAGATGTTGAAGAACCAGGTTCTGATTTTGAGCTTGTTGTGGTCATTTCTGCTGCTAGACACAGCCCTCAGAACTTCTGGTATATCCATTCAGTAGAATCTCAAGCTGTCAAGCACATGTCCCGCATTATAATTTTTCTTTATTAATCATCTTATTCTTTCAGCACTGAAAAATTTCGCATCTTTTGGCTTAACTGCAATTGAACCATNTTACTATTAGACATTTTTTGTTAGTTGTCACTTGTCACGGGGATGTTACGTCCTTGATGTTGAAGTAGGGAGAAAATTTGAGTTGGCGTCTGCATGTGTGGTTGTTTTATATGTCGATACGAAAATGTACAGATGAATAGCATCTGTTTCTCTGAAAAGTTGTTCTCTGGTTCATGTTACCAGTTTTTGTGGATTTTATGTGGTTGATTTGATTGCTGACACTACATCTCTTTTTTGTAGCAATGGGAGTTGGCGGTCGATATGGAATATAGAATTCAAGGGTGAGCTTCAAATCGTGGAAGTTAGAGGTAAACTTCAGGTAGTCCTCTACTCATAAGTGTGATGTAATTATAGAGTTTTACTTTTATTGTTCCTATCATCAGCTGTACTTTTGTCCAGAAAGAGGAGACAAACAAAGCGAATTAATATCTTCTTCTCCATATAGGTTGGGGCACACTACTTTGAAGAGGGCAATGTCCAGTTAGATGCAAAGCATGAATGCAAAGATTCTACAATATTTCAGGTAATGACTTATATCAAGTCTGCACCAAAATTATGCACATCATTGTCGGTTGGATTACCTGATATTGTAATGCAGTAACTGTTATAATTCATGTTATTATAAGGCATAATGTTTAGGGCCCTCTTCAATAATTTTTACGAACATGAAAAGTTTGTCAACATTAATAGGTGCCTGTGAGAATATTTACTGACAGCTCCTCTGAATGGTGATAGTAGATTGTCATTCAATCATCATTTTGCTCCATATCTACTCCCCCCTTATGATTTCATAACATAACGGACTTCCACAAAATTCATAAAATTATACTGACCTCGGTCTAAGAATTAGGCGGAAAACTTCCATGACTTATGAGGACCTGCATGATACTAGAAAGAGACTCGTATTATGTGCTTTTGTTTTGCAGAATATAACAGTCTTCTCTCAATTTCTCTTCAGTCACCCGATGATTGTGCAATTTCCTTGACGACCATTATTCGCCATCATGAGACAGAATATTTAAATGCTCTTCAGGTATCAACCCTTCCAGACTATGATCCTTTTTGTTCAGAGTTTCTGTTTACTGAATTTCATTGTTTTTGCAGATGTCCTATTTGAGTTTACCAGACACTACTTTCAAGGTACCCTACGTTTGCCTCCTGAATGTTGGCCATTTAATTTGTTTAATTTGTCGAAACGAATGTTTAATTTCTCATAATATGTGATCTTCTCATTGCCTTTACCATCAGGTTGTTTTTATTTCGAGTTCATTTCTGAATACTTTCTTCAGAATATCCATCTGTTCAGTGTTATCTCTAGTAAAAACTGAGCATTTGTGTTCTGCCAATTTAGGACTTACGCAGGAAGCTTCCCGTTACACGTACGTTATTCCCATGGCACAATACGCTGCAGTTTAGCCTGACCCGAGATATCCAGAAGAACTTGGGACTTGAAAGCAGTAAATGATTCGATCTTCCTGGATAAATGTTTTTTGCTGTAATGTTTCTGGTACTACGTTTGCTGTAGTACTAGGATGTACAACTTGTTTATGCCGTGAGAAGTTGGGATTGTCCGCTGTTTGATATACTGAAAACACAGATGCTTGTGTTAGACAGTACATATTACCTTTTCATTTTCTTCATCATTTATTATTTTTATATCGGCTGTTCCGTTCGTTGCTTCGTAGAAGAATGCGGAATTAAGGGGGTTGATAAATGCAACGAATTTATCAAAAGAATTCAGTTGTATGACAAGGCAGATGACACTAATTCTCTACTCAACTTAAATATTCATCATATAATACTCATGTCATAACAATTTGTACACAAAAGTGAATGATTTTATCTATATCTATCTATTTATTTTATATCTATACTACTCTAAAAGGACTATTGAATTTGTAATAAATAAACTACCTAAATAATTTTTATTTTGAAATACTTTTAATGACAAATTAGTAATACATTTAATACACATCATATCTTATATTTTTAATTAATAATTAATATTTAATTTATTAAATACAATTACCCGAACAAAACATTCAACTATCTCTTAAAAATCAATTACAATAATCTCGCATCATTATTCCTCTCGAGTTTGTTTTCTTCCACATCTCCCAAATTGCTTTTTTCTGTATCTCTAAAAATTCAATTCAATATCAACCCAATTAACAAAGTTTTGAAAGAATATAGAATTGCTGTTTTGAAAGACGATTTTATTTTTAATATAATTTAATGGTAAAATTGTAATCACATTTAATAATTCTAATATATAAAAATTATTCAAATAAAGTTGATCTAAACAAAAAATAATAATAAATACTTATACAGAATTCAAATATTTTTAATTATTTATTTACCTATATACAATTTTAACAAAACGTTAAATATTGGTAAAGAATGACAAGTTGTGACTTATATAATAAATAATTTTAAAGATACATACTCAACTTTAATTAAGAAAAATAACTAAAATTTTACAGAAATCATGTACACAATAAATATATACATAATCTAACAAATTTGAAAAGTGGAACCATTCGTTTAACAATTTTATTATTTAAGAAAAAATAAACTTGTATTTAGAATTAGAATTGAAATTGCATCTTAGTCATATTAAATTGAATTTTGATCCCACACAAATCATAAAGAATTTTCACTTTATCATTAGATGGTTGTATTTAGAATTAGAATTGAAATTGCATCTTAGTCATATTAAATTGAATTTTGATACCACACAAATCATAAAGAATTTTCACTTTATCATTAGATTGTTAATATAAAGGTGAGTATAAAATTTTATTTCCACCCGAACATGTGGTGTACGAGTATTTTAACTTTATTAAATTAAACAACATTATTTTTAAAATGTGGGGCAAGTCCCAAACCATGGATGTGGTTTCTTATCCCAAAAATCTGCTTCTGCTCTTTAACCCCTTCCGTCAGCACTGAATTCCATCTTCACAGCAAACACAGCTCGAAAAGTAACCGCCTCCCACTCTCCGATGAACATCCTTCCCTCCATCTCGCGCCTCAAACTCTCCCCTGCTGCACCGCCGCCGCCACTCGCTGGACTCGCCGCCTCTTTCCCCTCCCGACTGCCGGCCCAACTCCCTCTCGCCATCAGACCCACCACCAATTCTTCCTCCCTCGCCGCCGCCACGCGTGAGCCGGTAACGTCGGCGGCCCCGCCGACCTCATCGGACCAAGACGACGAATTCGGCGACTACGACGAGGACGAGACCTACGGCGAGGTGAGCCGGATCATCGGCAGCCGGGCCGCGGGAGGGAACCGAATGGAGTACCTAATCGAGTGGAAAGACGACCACGTCCCCACGTGGGTCCCCTCCGATTTCATCGCCGCAGACGTCGTCTCCGAGTACGAGACCCCCTGGTGGACCGCCGCCAAGAAGGCCGACCCCGCCGCCTTCGGAGACCTCCTCTCCTCCTCCTCCGGTCGCGACGCAGACGCCGTCGACCGCGACGGCCGCACGGCCCTCCTCTTCGTCTCCGGCCTCGGATCCGAGCCGTGCGTCCGGCTTCTGGCGGAAGCCGGGGCCGACGTCGACCACCGCGACTCCTCCGGACTCACCGCCCTACACATGGCGGCGGGCTACGTCCGGCCCACCATCGCCGAGATCCTGATCCAGTACGGTGCCGACCCAGAGGCATCAGACAACCGAGGCCGGACTCCTCTAGATCTGGCGCGGGAGATCCTGGCGGCCACCCCAAAGCTGCAGTTCGGGAAGCGGATGGGGCTGGAAGCGGTGGTTCAGGTGCTGGAATCGGCCGTGTACGAGTTTGCAGAGGTTGACGAGGTATTGGAAAAGAGAGGGAAAGGGGAGAATAACATGGAGTATCTGGTGAGGTGGAAGGACGGTGGGGCTAACGAGTGGGTGAAGGCAAAGCACGTGGCGGAGGATTTGGTGAGGGATTTCGAGGCCGGAGTAGAGTATGCAGTTGCGGAGCGTGTGGTGGATAGTAGGGAAGTCGGAGAAGAAGAAGGAGAAAGGAGAAGGGAGTATTTGGTGAAGTGGACTGATATCGAGGAGGAGACTTGGGAACCCGAGGAGAATGTCGATTCTGATTTGATTGGCGAGTTTGAAGGGAATGTGGGGAAAAAATGAGGTTCGAAACTCGTTTCGTTGATTGTTGTTGGTTTTTTTGTGGTTTGCATTGGTAGTTCGATTCTTTCGGGTGAAATAGAATGTTAGAATCAGATTTCCATTGGAAGTGTTCAAGCTCTACTGTCTATTTTCTGTGGTGCCGTCTAGATTGAGTTTTGTGGTGAGTTTTTGTTTTACATTGGTGATGTACGGATACAAATGTGGTATGAAAGGACTTCATTTAAGTTAAACTTAGAATGAGTGTGAAAGCTCTGTTGGGGTAGTTTCTTGTGGTTATCTGGTGCATTCTTGTTACTCTTAACCTAATGACATTTCAAGAGTGGAACTCGTGGCTGCTTTGCGCAATGGGCGTGGATCGAGATATTTGTGCTTGTCTTTCTATAATTTGTGTTCCTGTTTTTTGTCTCATTGCCATTGTTCAAGTTAAGGCAAGGTTGATGGTAATTCCTGTCGAGTTAGCTAGGTTTGCTGGATTTTGTACTTAGTTAATATCGGTGGTCGCTTCATATTCGCAACACTTTTAATTCACTCGTTTTTCTTTGCATCTGCAGGTTGATAAGGCATCCTCGTGAGTCGTGACACTACTTCTCGGAATTTTCCATGCGAACAGAGTGGCTGATAGCTTGTAGTTTCTTGTATCAAAAAATTGATCTTTAGAGTCCATTGATTCTTTTGTGGTAATGGTTCAAACTGAAGATGGGATCACATGCAACATGAAAAAGTACTGTTGCTATATTCTCATTGTTATTAGTTTTTCTTTTCTTCTTTTGAGCTTGGAACACTCCTAAACCGATACTAACAAATGCGCAGACTTCACAATTCCTAAAGCAGCCATGAAAAACCTGTGTCAACTAGTTATTCACGCACGTATAATTTGCAATGCTTCGTGAAACATTAGTACTTTAGTAGTAATCTACGACTTCAATACAACAGTAAGGCACGTGGAAGTTCTGAAATATGAGTAACCTATCGAAATGCTGACGGTTATTAACTTGGTTTATTGTTTGTTTGGAGTTAGGGTGCATTCTACTTTTATTAATTGGGGAGACTTCTGCAAAACATGTTTTTGCAGTATATAAGCATACTTTTTGTGATAGATGCTACACTTTGAAATGCAACAAAAAATAAAGTATTACATCTCAAGTTAACAGTTTTGTTATAGAGTCATCGGATGGCTCGACTTATGGAGTCATCCATACTTATTCACCAATAGTGTATTGACACGTGTTCTGCAATAAATACAATTTGAACAGATGTCAATACATGTGATGGATGACTCCATAAAAATACCATCCGATGACTCCATAGAATTTTTGCTCAAGTAAAATATGCATTGCTCTATTCTCATGATAAACAACAAAATAATAGTTGCGCAACTTACGCTTTTTAATTCCTAACAGAACGTTTAAGCGTAAAAATGCATTACATTACTCGTGATTTTGCTTCTAAAAAAATTTGGTCATCTCCAACTCTTATTTATATTCTAGTGTCAGACTATAGAGTTTATTCTATTATAACGAAGCAATTTTTATTTTTTTAAAAAAAAAAACGCTATAAATTTTACTCTACACGAAATATTATCTTTTTATTCTCATTATTTAAAATTACTTTTAATGGCAAAACATAATTTAACAATACATTAAAATATTTTCATAATCTCAGTGTGTTGCTACATTTTTGAAATATTATTCGACGAAAATTCGATTACTTTTATATATTTTTAATTTATTTTATAGTAATTAAATATAAATATTTCATCCAAAATAATATTTTGGTACAATTATTTAACAAATTTACAAATTATTGGTGCACACTCGATCAAAATAATACATGGTAAGCTAAAATAAAATACAAACATTATAAAAAATAATAAATTGTTCGAATTCTAGTACAATCGATTACAAAATTGTTCGAATTCAAGTACAATCGATTACAAATTTATTGGTACACAACATAAAAACATAAAAATAAAAATAAAATAATACATAAAATTAAATACAAATAATTATAAAAAACAATAAATAATTTGTACGGTTAGATTACTTCAAATTTTCTAATTGGCATGGTAAAAAAATAAAAAAATAAAAAAAAAACAATTATATACTGGAGTACCAATTAAAATAGAATTCTCCTATAAAATAGTGAAATTATATATAATGTGAGTCTCTTGTACAATTAGTGCTACAATTAGTGTAATTAAAAGTGAAATGAAATTGTGCTATAATTATATATAATAGGAGTCTCTTGTACAATTAGTGCTACAATTAGTGTAATTAAAAGTGAAATGAAATTGTGCTATAATTATATGTAATAGGAGTCTCTCGTACAATTAGTGCTACAATTAGTGCAATTAAAAGTGAAATGAAATTGTGCTATGGCTTCTGTCTACGAAAAGTCTTGATAATTTTTAATATGATTTTTATATTTATCCTTTAATTTTATACATATTAAAATAGTCTGTGCAAGTATATATATATCGAAATTTTTCATCTATAAAAAATAACACAACAAACCTGAAATATAAATTAGATGTATATATTGTGCATATCAGATGATAAATTCAATCTAGTGAAAATATATGTAAATTTTTTCTTGAAAATCTATACAATACTCTAAACAATTTATCAACATTCTAATAAAAGATTTATAATAAATTCAAACAATCTTTCTAAAATATTTTTTACATTAAAATAATAATAATACAATTTTAGCTATTGAACAAATATGTATTCCAATATTCTGGAGGTGTACAAATTAATAACATATTATTATATAATTTTTAAAATTGAATATAAAATAATATTGTGTTTAAAATTTGTTAAGTGATTAAATATGTGGATGGTATTAAAAAGTTATAATAAAAGTAAATATAAAAGAGAGAACATTTTTTAGGTTTGAGAATGAAAAGAGTTAAGTCGTGAGTTTGAGAATGTTTTTTTCTTTTTTTTTTATGGAAGATAAACTAAAGATTTTGGTTGGAGATGGGTGATGCGCGAGATGTAGCACAACAATGTTTGTAGCTTTAGAGTAATGCTTCAGTGAATTGCAATTAACATTTGCGAAAAAAGAAAAGTCGCAACGTTTGGACACTTATTTTATATAATTCTAGCTTTTTCCACAGAAACATCGTTGCCTTAGCTGTTCTTATATGTATTATTGGTCCTTATTTTTCAACACGTTGCATATACAAGCCACTTCACATTGCTAATAATGTGAAGGGACAAAAACTAGACGTAGATGGAAAATATCATATCCTCGAGCTATGCCAACATCTTCATTTTAGCCTCATATCTATGACTCTTCAGTGTCTCCAAGGTCGCCATCAACATCGTGCGCAAAATGGGAAAAGAGCAAAAGAAAATGTTTCATTTCTATGGTAGATATTCATTTGTTCATAAACTAGTATGTTTTTCTGTTCAGCTGCATATGTTTTTCTGTGCATCCTATGTTCTCTTGTTACGGGAATAGTTTATCGGGACTTGAAACCAGAAAACATTCTTCTTCAAAAGAATGGACATATCGTGTTGACTGATTTCGACCTGTCATTTAAGACAGCTTGCAGACCTCAACTATGTGTCTCTGCTTCTCTATTGTTTCTTCTCTTCCATTACTGAATTATGTGATGTGATTCAAAAGTCATCTTGTGTATTGGTGGAATTATTCATTCAGGTGTTAAAGCAGCCTCCACTCCTTTTTCGCAGAACCAAATACTCAGTTGAACTCCTCAACTCCTTTGTTGGAACCGAAGAATATACCGGTATAGTGGTTTCTCAGTTTTGTTAGCAACAAATGTGATCCTTGTTCGAATTATTACATTTACAGTTCGATTTAGTATACATTATTATACTCACTCATTATAGAGAAGACTTTGCAGGAAATCATTACAGATGAAGGTCATATAGTAGTGCCATAGATTGGTGGGCTTAGGGGTGTTCATTTGTCGGTTCGGTCGGAATTACCAAAACCGAACTAACCGAATTGCTCTATGTCAAAAACCGAACCGACCAATGTGCTTAAAACCGAAGTATAACCGAACCGAACTATTCGGTCGGTTAACCGAACTCTTACAAAAAAATCTTTTTTTTTTCAGATGACGCAGATACATACATGATTAACAGAATAATTCCAAGAGTTTCAGTAGAAAGAAAGGGAAAGGAAGAAAAATAAACATCTCACAAGTCACAGACGTACATGATTTTTCACTACAAATCTGCAATTAGAAAAAAAAAAAAAAAATAATACTTGTATCTTGAATAAAACTGAGATTTTGGGAGGGAGAGAAAAAAATCGGGGAGACTTTGCGGCTTCGCCCTTAACGGTGAAGTACAACCATGTGTCCGGTGAGTCGACGATCGGTGATAACGAGCTCCTTGATCGGACCGAACTACACGCAGACGTGAGGGGATGGTTTTTTGCGGAGCGGACAATTTGGGAGATGGTTTGGATTGGGGCGATTTAGGGCGGACTGCGGAGGAGCAGCGGCGGAGGAGTAGCGGTGGCGGATGATTTGGAGCGGCAGCGGATGATTTGGGGCGGCGGCAGATGATTTGGGGAAGTCCCGTTTCTGATTTAGGAGATAGGATTAATGTACAGTTAGGTTATTGAACAAGATCAAACAACATAGTCCCGGCTCGTAAAAATCTGTTCCCCTAGAGGCACTCTCATCACACAATTCGATATCTGACCGGCTCCCTATCGCTAAATTCTAAAATTGAAACTCAAAGAAAACTTCAAAAATGGCTGGGGGATCTGTTATTATCGGTCTGACCGGCTCCCTATCGCTAAATTCTAAAATTGAAACTCAAAGAAAACTTCAAAAATGGCTGGGGGATCTGTTATTATCGGTTTAACGGAATATTTTCCGTCAGGCAATTCAAAACAAGTTTGACTAATTGCCCCTCAGGATTATGGATTAAATGTTATTTTTCTCAAGGTTAATCCCAGCAAGCTTTACAGTTTACACATTTTTTCCCAGACAGCTGCCAAGCAAAGAAATCTCAAGTGAAAGTGCATAGTTTCACCAGGGTACAAATCCTTATCGACACTTAAAGATGGAAATGTGGAGGATGCATGAAATGAAACCAGTGCATAGTTGTACAGAACAAATCGACTAAACAGTGCGTTTTCTAACGAAATTTCCACATTCGTGGTAGGCTGGTAGCTTTTAAGGAGGTGAATATGTCGGCTGGCTGGACTAAATAGAAAAAGGAAATTTTCATCCTACTTGTCATAGTTCAACTGAACAAAGTTTCGGTGATTATGTGTGGTATTTTCAGAGTGTTGGCAGACCTGCAGGCTGCATGCGCGCGTGAATTAGATGTTTTGAATTATCTATAATGAGAGGTTTTAAGTTGTTAGATCTTACACATGCCTATACAGGGGTTGGTGTATGAAGATTCAAAACTATACTCAATTGCGCGGCTTCACATCATTAAATCTGGAAGATTGGTTATTCCAGAACCTAACTAATGCTTTGGGTCTCAATATTGTAGATTGGGAAGTGACCTTTGGAATGGCAGCTTGGAGAATTTGGATTAACCGGAATCGAAGAATTTTCCAAGGTCAAAGTGTCCATGATAATGGCGTTCTTCAGGAAGTAGCATGGTGGAGCGAATCGGTACGTGCGACTATAGAAGGTGAACGGAGGATTGGAGGAGTTGGAGTTGGGCGCGAGCGGATCTATGTCAAGTGGGAGTTCCCGCCAGAGAATTGGGTAAAGATAAACTCTGATGGCTCATTTAATTCGGCTACCGGAATGGCTAGTGCTGGGGGTGTGTTGCGAGATCATAAGGGTAGATGGGTTGAGGGTTTATTATGAATATCGATTTTTGCTCTATTACGGGGGCCGAGTTATGGGGGATTTTTCAAGGTATTCGCATGGCGTGGGAGAGGGGTTACCATAATGTCATTGTTGAATATGATAGCCTTTGTGCTGTTTCTATGATTCAAGAGGAGGAGTTGGATGCGGAATACATACGGCTTTAATACGGAGTATCAAGGCGTTGTTGAATGGAGGGTGGAACGTGCGCGTGGGTCACATTTATAGGGAAGCCAACTCAGTCGCCGATTGCTTGGCGGCTATTGCTGCACGTGGTCCTGGAGGCTTTCACAGTTTGAGCAACCCGCCAGCGGAAGCACGGAAATGGCTCGAGCATGATCTTGTCGGAGTGGCTTATCCACGACAAACCTTAATCTCCCGCAAATAGGCTTTGGCCTCCCTTATTGTACCAAAAAAAAAAAAAACTATACTCACACCAGTATGATTGAAATAGCCACGAATCACTACAAATCTTATGACTCCATGCTATTCTACCAAAAATCTTACTAGAAAAAATCAGGAGAGAAATGAGAAAATAAAACCAACAGTATTGCATACTAAATTGCCAAAAAACAATGTCACGGTTTGAATTTCAGTCAAAAAAAAAATCATCGAGTGTAATATAACTAGCAATTTGCATACGAACTCATGACATGCAACACAATAAAACTAAGGCTATATCAAAAACTTCAATTTTTTAATCATGTACAGTATATCTTTATGTTCCCAGCTACTACTTATCCACCTCCAGGGCGACTACAAGCACATATACAATTCCCCTGCATTCTTGTTCTCCACTAAAACAGTTTCATGTCACAAGCACACGAACAACAAAGTTCTTAATTTATTTATTCATATTACTCAGGACGTCAGGTATTATAGCAAAAGAAAACATGTAGACAACAAAAAGCAGTACATACAAGTTTGCCTCGTCTTCTAATCTCCCGTGCCCAAAAAGAGGATGCTGAACTTTTAAAGAGGACGCAATAAGGGGTAATCTTCCAGTAGTTCTCGTTCGGATAGAGTATCATCTTCATTTTGAGGGGTCCACAGCACCTCAACCGCCTGCATCAAGACAGCGGCAAAATGAGACCAAACGAAGAAGATGAATACACAGTTATGAGTGACTGTGGTTTAAATCTTTTTTTACCAGAGTTTTACGTGATGGGATGGATGCTAGCTTTTGTAAAGCTTCTTTCAAGTCTTTACTGCTATTGATAGAAGGCAGCTTGTGTTGTCCTTCGGCGGCCACCAAAATTGTGATCTGCAATTTCAGCATAGGCAAAAGAAATCACGAGAGGGAAAGTATTTTTGAACCACGTCAAGTTAGAAAAACAACTAAACCTTTTTTTATTAGTTATAGGGGGGCTAGTGGGTAGGGGATTCTAATTAAGAAATTGATGTCAACACCCTTAGAATGGGTAAAGCCGTAAAGGGTACCACTTAAGTTAAGGCTTGAGGTAAACTCAAATAGACCTGAATCTTACGATGCCATCAATTAAGAAAACAATGGGAGTATGAACTCTACACATGAGAACCTGATATGAACCTTAAAGAGTCAAATCTAGAATAACAAGTTTCAACGTCAAAATGTATCAATGGGAAAACCCAAGTGCATCAAAGTACATGAAACAAGAACTACGGATAAAATATTCTATGGAAAGTTAAAATAACAATGCAGAACAGTTTTATACGGAGAGGTAGAATCGTCCGAAAATATAAGTATGGAAATGTGTAGTATTTGGTACAAATTAATACAATATTGAGGCCACAAGAAAGGCATCACAGGCCAGCTAAGAGGAACAGGGACCAACATAAATGTCTCTCTAAAACATACAACACCTAAGATCTGATAACTAACATGAAGAACTGTAGTTTTACAGGTTTGAAATTTGTAAAACTTCAGCATCAGAAAAAGCATCAACGCAAGAGAAGTGTAAGGGAGCTATTTATTGATCCATCATAAATGCCTAGGTTTAACATTTAATGCAACAAATCTAAGTTTGAAATGTTTACCACTATGTACTCATTGCTAAATCCACTTGCTCTCAGGCGAGTTGAGCTCTGTTTTCTCATGCTGTTGACGTTGACAAGTGTTTCCTCATCAAACTTACCACGTTCTTCAATAGAAAGTTGATTAAATCTTTTCTCCCCGTCTTCCATGTTCCTCTTTATATCAACCTGCATTTATGAGGTCAACATAAAGCAATTTCTGATGAAACCATAAACCAAAAAGAGGAATCTCCACTGGCATGGATGAACAGAATACTGAGAGAGAGAGAGAGAGAGAGAGAGAGAAAAAAAAGAGTTAATCTGAACTTCGATAATCAATATAGGCCAAGCATAAAAACAAGTTCATCTAAAATTACAAAATAAGTGAACATGCCTATCTTCATTTTCCTTACTATAATACTTAATAGTTAATTAATACCCCGTATCTGCTTACTATTCAATATTTGTATATTAATTCACCTGAGCCACTAACGACCATGGAAAAACAGATTTGACACAAAATGTACTTTTAACTATATTTCATCGTGGCTAGCATTTGATCCAGCTATACCAGGACTTAAATCCAAATGCTTAATATCACCATATAATAAAGAATGGGTTAATAAAAGCTGAGTAAGACCAGGTCCAAAGCCAAAGATGGCATGTGGAACTAAATTTTAAACATATGCTAGAACAGGAACGGCTGAAACAGGGAGTTCGCATTTTCATGCACGCTACATAACTTCTTCCTGTAGGAGATCATGGAAAAATCAACGCAGAAGTAAACTTTTCTACTTCACTACTCTGAACAGAAGCAGATTAGCAGATCACAATCAGAGCAAGGAACCGTCATCATCTACTATGCCATTTGATGTTTTCTGAGAGTTACACTTCCTTGCACTATGTTTTTCAATATTTAATTCAAGGAGTTTTAGCCGTTGCAATATATTTGGTCTTATCCACATTGATATATGGGTAGAAAAGCCTTTATGAGCAACCCTCTTAATATTAGTTTCATGTATCATTATAAACAGGTCTTATTCACATGAATGTTATAACCATTTTACAAATACTTTAGATTTAGAGCTTTAGCTCCAACACATTTCCTTAAAAAGAGCAGTGATTTAAGCAAAAAACTTACTGAAGAATAAGCAGAGATGCAATAATCAGGATGCCGAAGCAAAGCTAGCACCGTCTCTGCAACAAAGATAAGAAGAACTAGGATCAACCAAATACAGAACAAAGGTAGCATGAGCCAATTACATTGTCTCAGCACTGTCAACAAGAAAATGTAAAGGCATGAGTTTTCTGGAATATTATACCAATTGAACAATTGAATGAAGGATAACGCAAATGTCATTTAAAGTAACCTTAACTGTCATCTACAAAACGTAACTCCAGTCCTTTGTTCATGACGAAACATTTCATGGAGTCAAGAGTTTTGTAGGCCCTGAAGGCCATACTAAAACCGGAACAACATAATCAACTATGTCTTAAACTTAAAGGACGTCAAACTACCCCATGTCATGTTTCTATTAAAGGAGTGATAAAAACACCAATATATGCTCACTACAAACCAGAATTTAAATGAATGAAACACCATATCCAACATTCTGAAATCCAAACCCAAAAAGATCGAACAAATGGCAGAAAACATAATCCACGAGATGTGTTACCAGTCAATACATAGTGTAAACCCTCTGAGCTTGATGTATCCGCAGTTTCTGCAATTCGGTTGAGATCCTTCTGGAGTGACCTCCCTAAACCCAACAACCCCACCTATTGATCAAAGAAAAGACATCCAAAGATTAGAACCAAAAAAAAAAAAAGAGAATCTCTACACTAAAATGATTGATCAGCTATCAACAAAACCCACCTGTAGCTTCAACACACTCGTTTTCTCAGTAGCCGTGAGCACACTACTGTTCTCGGAACCCTCGGACAAAAACCCAGAAACCAAAATAAACGCCACGAACGCGACGAAAATTAGGGAAGCGGAGGACCCCACCCCGACGGCGGGACCTAAGAACACGCCGCCAAAAGGAGAGGGCGCGTAGTACGGAACGGAATACGAGAAACCAGAATCGGATCCCAACGACGACCTCGACCTAGGGGCACTGTAACTCTTCGACGAGGACGAAGTCGAAGACCGCGAAGAGAAGGAACTGCCGCCCATACGCCCACCGGAGCCCGCGGCCAGCGCCCAATCAGGGTTGTGCACCAACAGCAGCCCCACGAGAACAGCCGCCGCCGCAGGTCTTTTCAGCGCCTTGAGCGCATTTTTTATGCAGCTAGTCACAAGCTCGAAACGATTCCTATTATTATCGGTCTCCATTTTCGCGAATACGCCAATCTTCTGACCAATATCCTGGTAAGGGCGATCGGATCCATTATTGATGGGCGAAAAATAGCATCTGACGCCGAGTGTTCTGAGAGATTTGATGCGAACCCTGAGATGGGCGAAGGAATTGTGGGCCGGGGATTGAGGAGAGTGGTATAGGTGTTTTTTCAATCTGAGGGTTGGATCCTGTAAAAGGAAGCTTGAGGCGGTGGCGGCCATGGATTCCGGGTGTTGATGAATCAAATGCGAGATGAGATATGGTTTTGCAGAAAATTGAGGGTGTTGTCAGAGGGAAGAAGATGACTGTGTGGCGGGTGTGGGTTTGGAAGAGATTTCCACACCACGTCACCACCATCATACAAATAATAAATTCAATTTCGTTAATTTTATATACTTGTGGGCCCTTGGCACAGTCCGTCCATCTTTTTAGTCAATGATTAGCGAGTTAATAAACTAGTATATAGCTGATTAATATTTTTTATACGTAATTTTTGAGCTTATAGCTTATATAATAAAAGTATTTAGTAAAATTAATTATAGGCTAGCTGAAATAAATAATTTCAACTATCTTATTTGAAAAACTACTTAAAGCAGTTTATGAGATAAACTCGAATTTTTTAAAAAAGCTCGTCCTACCAAACGAGAATTATTTGAATATAGGAAGCTTATAAACTAACCAAATAAGCTATAAGCTAACTTATTTGCTAGTTTATGACTTATAGTAAAAAAGCTAGCTTATATGATAATTTTTTTATAAAATTAGCTGATAACCAAGTTGAAATAAAAATTTCAACGAGCTTATTTGAAAAGCTACCTAAAAAAGCTTATGATATAGTTCGAGCTTATTAAAAAAGTTCGTCCTACCAAACAAACTTTATTAAATAAAGAAAACTTATAAGCTAACAAAATAAGCTATAAGCTAGTTTATTTATCTGTCAACCATAACAGTAAGTTAAAATTTGGCGTCATTAGTGTTGTAGTTATTTTTACCGGAGTTAAACCAAATGATTCAATCCCCGAGTCGTATCTCAAGGAAAGTTAGCCGGACTATTTGTACGGATATTCAATCACACGAAAAGGAAAATAAATCCCTAAACACTCTATTCAATGATTGATTTTGTTTTTAATTATCAACTACTAAGATTTAAATTAACCAAATTGGAATAGCAAATTAACACGTAGAACAAACAAGATTTAAGAAGCTAGGGAATCGGGGATATCCGTTTTGGTTCGAATTGCGACTATTGGCAAGTGATCGTTCGGTTAAGTGATCTGAATAACCTGCTCGTTCAAGTACTCATCCTCAATAACTCTTCGTAACAAGAGAAAAAACTTGAATGGCAAAATTAACAAGTCATTTAACACCTAGGCAATACAGTTACGAACAAGCCTAGTTTATACGAGCCTATTTCGACCGACTCCTCCCCTTTCGGTTCTAAGAGTCGATTAAAATAGACTAGAGGGTTGTTAACCGACTAATCAATAAGAATCACCAATATCATGCATGAATAAATCAAATTCAGTTGAAACAATTGTAAGTTGAAGTGTCACCCTTCAACAATTCTCAATATTCAGCGTAATTTTTAAAGAACAACTCGTACAAATAGAACGATCGACAAATCCCAACAATCACAAACGAATCCAAAACATTAATCCCTTATCCCCTAGCATAAGGATTTAGCTAATCATGATCAATTCAACATCAACAATAATCTCAATCAAAGAACTCATATTTAACGATAAAGTTAAAAGATAAATCATTGAATCTGATAAACAAGTTTGAATCCGAAAGCACTACTGAAATCCAAGTTTAAATTCGTGTTCTACGTTGAAAAAGATGAAGGAAATGAAAAGAACGAGAGAAAATAAGATGGTAGGGTTTTCTGTGTTCATCCAATGCGAGATATCCCGCTGCTCTGATCGGTCCGCATATATATAGGAGGGGAAGTCTCGGCGTGAAGACCATGGGTCGCGGCGCGAACAGGCCGGTTGTTATAAAATTACAAAAAAATTATGGCTGGATTTTTCCTTCAAGGTACTGATTGTCCCATTTTTGTTACATTTTTCGTGCGTGTTTTGCTTTTCTTTTTCCCCGTTTTAGGTCGTTTTTTCGTTTTTAGTCCGTTTCGTGTTTTATTATGTGTTTCCCTTCATTTTGAGTCTTTAGGTGTTTTTCGTTTGTTTTTTTTCGGTTTTCTTTGTGTTTTGTCGTTTATGGTGTATAGGTCGGGAGCTTCTTGCGAATTTTATCAATAGAAAAAATTTGTTTTGAGAGCATAATTGAATAGATGGGTTCGTTAGCGACGCGTAGCAAAAAACAGAACTCAATTCCGAGTTCGGACGAGCCCAAACAAGCCTGAAACGTAAAGTCATGCAGTGCTGCCAAAGTCGCGGCTCGCAGCAAAAGTCGCGACTCGCGACTTTAACAAAGCCTCCCAGCGACCCCACGACCTGGCAGACTTGCGACTCGCGAGTCGCGACCCATCCGACCATGTTTTTATTTTTGCTCGTTTTTTCTCGTTTTTTATCCGTTTTTCGAGCTCTATATATTGAAACGACCTGCAGACTCGTGGGAATAATCCCAAAACTTATTTTTCCTCTTTCTCCTACTCTAAAACTCGGATTTGGATCGTTCTTTTTGCTTTATTCTCTCTTGACTTTTTCGAATTAAGTTGTTCATCGGATTTAACTCTTGTTCTCTATTAATCGTAAGTTATTCTTTTCATCTAATTCTTGAATATGAATGCTTGGGTTGAGAAGAATGTTAATGTTGAAGTCGTTATGAGTAGCTAATTCGTTTTTGCTAGGGATAGGGGATGATGATGATGATGTTTAGATTTTGATTGTGATTATCATGCTTGTTGATCGTTCAATTTGTGCGAGTTGTTCTTAACTAGGAATTATAATTCTCGTGCATTGAATGTTGAATATTGTCGAAGAGTGACACTTCGATTTGCAATTGATTTCCAATTGAATATGATTCGTTCTTGTGTGGTGTCTTTTAAATCTATTGAACTAGTAGATTAACAATCATCTAGGATAATTTAATCAACTCTTAGAACCAAAAGGGGAGGATTTGATCGATCTAGGCTCGTATGAAATAGACTTGTTCGGAAACGTATTGTCTATGTGTTGTGTGATTTGTTTGATTTGTCGTCTATGTTATCCTCTTGTTACGAAGAGTTATTGAGGACTATCTCTAGACGTTAGGTTGTTCAAATCATTTAACCGAATGATCTTAGCTTAATATTTGTTTTGGTTAGAAAATCACCATCCCCGACTCCTTAGCTTCTTTATCATTGTCTAGTTTGCATTTTAGGTTGATTTATGTTCTTATATTATTTTTTGGTTGATAATTAATTCCAATCACCTTGATTAATATGTTTAGGATTTATTTTGCTTTTGTGTGCTATCAACACCATTCGTAGATTCCGAACCGCCTTCCTCGAAAGATCGACCTGAGGTCGGGAGTCATCCTGTACTCGGTAAAAATATAATTTGCTACAACAAATACATATATAATTGCTATAATATTAATGATTTAATATTTTTTTCAACTAATTAATTAGTGAAGATCTCTTAGATTTATGATTATTATATTATTAATTACATGTTATATCATTTATATAGTGATTCATATCTGAGTCACATAGTATAACTATATTAATTAATTTTACTAATGATCAAATTTATAAAATGTAGTATACAGTGACGGATCTAGGAATTTTACTCAGGGGGTCCCAATTTTTAAATGTTATAATGAGCTTGTAGATTAAGTCGAAACGCTCATTTCATATAAAAATATACTACAAATATAAATATCTATATGTGTACCGTCAAGTTTTTTAAAACTTAAAATCCATATTACTCTCAAACTTTAAGAAAATAAACAAAATAAAAAAAGATTTCATGTATTCATTACATCTATAGATTATGAAAAAATAAGTTTTCTGGTTGAAAATTTGGTTTAAATTGAAACTTTGCGGCACATTGCTTAGCATTTTTGTTGATGAGAGCTTATCAAATGAACATTTTTAAGCAAAAAATAAATAAATTTTAAAATAGGTGATTACACAAAAAAATAAAAAATCAACATTTAAAAATGTAAAAATCCAACTACATACTGAGTTTTATAAATCACTAAATCAATTTACAATGAAGAGGTAATTATAAATATTTTTAAATACTTATCTAGAAATGTAAAATATAAGAATTAATAAAATATAATATTATTAATTTAAATTAAAATAAAATATAAATAATTTTTTAATTATTAATATATTATATTTTTTTTTACATTTCTATACTTATTTTTTAGTTTTTTGATTTAAAAAAATCAGGGGGGCTCGCCATACAAATCCGTACTGGTAGTATATATGTTATATATTTTATAATTATAAACATAATATTCATACACATAATTTGTAATATTTTATTTATATTTGTACATATGCACATAATTAACTAGCTAGTAGTTTATGTTATAAACCGTACATGAACATAAGTATGACAATTTACTATAATCAACAGCCAATATATTTCACAACCAAAATGCTTTGAAGGCTTGGGATTAAGTTACGTGTTAGTTTTCAATAAAGCTTTACTAGCAAAGCAGGTTTAACGCACTATAAAAAAATCCAGATTCTTTGGTGGCAAGAGTCCTTAAACCTCGTTACTTCAGATACTTTGACGTGATGTCAGGTCATTTGGGCAACAAACTTTCATATTTTTTATGATCTCTAAATTGGAGCAAAGAAACTTGGAAGATTGGCGATAGACGTAATATTGATATATACCAGGATACATGGCTTCCATCACTACATAAATGTTTTTCCTTTGTCCATCATAACTTCCCATCCATATGCGAGGTACATGACCTAATTAGTGAAGGTGAATGGAACGAGAGCCTCATTGTTAATCTTTTTTCCCCATTTATTGATGAAGAAATCATGCAAATTAATCTTCCAAGTTCTCCCCAAAGAACGATCACTATGTCCAGGTGGTTGTAAGCTATAAAACTCTTATTATGATACATCTCTGGATTCACTTTTTTTTTGTTCCTCGATGGGGCCTCTATGGAAAAATAATATCTTTTACCCCTAGTTAAAACGACCAAATTTTGTTCTACTTTGGACTTATGCATATGGATGCAACAAAGCCTGACAGCTCATGAATTTGAAATTTTTGCATTGTCAACTTGGCTAATTTGGAATGAAAGACAAAGGATAATCCATGGATCCAATTCCAATGACTGTCTCAAGTTAGTGGCTGAAGCTGAAAACATTGTTCGAAATTTCCAAATTACATCTAGCGACTTTCAGAATATTCAGTGCTCAGAAGACCGTCAAATAATTCACAAA